TTCGCGGCGACAACGACGAGGCCGGACATCGCGTTTGCCTGCAGCAAGCTGGGGAGCGGCCTCACGGCGAGGAGCGACCAGCATTGGCGCGAGGTCGACCGCTGCCTCGCCTACCTTGCTGACACCCGCGACACCGCCTTCGAGTTCGGCGGCGGACCAGTGTCGTTAGAGCTGATCGGCTATGTGGACGCCGACGACGCGGGCGACAAGCAGAAGCGGACGAGAACGAGCGGCTACGTGTTCATCTACGGGGGGGCGCCGTCTCCTGGTCGAGCTCGCGCATCAAGTGCGCGACATTGTCGTCGACCGAGTCGGAGTTCGTTGCGGCCACGAATGCAGGCAAGGAGGGACACCGACTTCGTTTCCTTCTTGCGGAATTCAAGCTGCTCGACGCTGGGAAGCCGACCATCCTGCGCGTCGACAACAAATTGGCAATTACGGTCGCTGCGGGCTTGGGGCTGACGGGCAACCTCAAGCACATGGAGCGACGCTATGCCTGGCTGCAGCACATGGTGAGGTGCGGGAAGTTCGTACTGAAGTACATCCCGACTACCGAGCAGCCGGCAGACTTCCTGACGAAGGCGCTGCATTTTCCGGCTTTCAGCCGGTGCTCTGTTGCCATCGGCCAAGTTCGTCTGGCCGACGTCGGCGACGGCGACGATGATGTGCAGCAGTAGGTGCCGCGCCCTTCTGCACGGCTGGTGCGGTGACGGCGTGCTGTATGAGGGGTGCACGCCGAGGACGAGTTTTCTCCGTAGTGTGCTGCCATGTGGGCTGGGGGCCCAAGCGTGAGCGCGGCAAGGGAGTGTTAACGGGAGTGAAGTGTTGGCCCCGCCCTCGCTTGGGCAACGCCGACGACTTGGTCGGATGTACGGGAGTGGCAGCCGACCATCCACAGTGGGAGAGCTGCTCGACAGGCTTCGTCGAGCTGCAGGGGACCGCTGTGGTGTTGCTGTCGACCAGGGAGCTCGACAGCTGCATCTGACTGGTCTGGGCGACGAGTGGGCCGTCGACCAGGAGGGGCAGTTCGATCGGGAGGTCGACGGAGCAGTCCGTCGACCTGAGAAGTGAGCAACGGTTGACGAGGGGAGCTCGTCGACAACAGCTGACGGTTCTGGTCGATGGAAGGGGTCCGTCAACCAGGGGGTAGCTCGAAGGGAGCTGTGATTGACCAGAGGGACCCGGTGGTCGACTAGAGGCACTTGGGGTTGTCCAGGTCGACCGGGTAACCTGCTCGGCGAGTTCTGCGGAGGCACGAAAACGTCGTCGAGGTCGCGATGGCGAAGGCGACTTCGGGTTGGTATCCTGAAGTCGATGTGGCTCGTCAGGCGCAGACAACAGCCGACGGATGCACAACGGTGCAAGTCGGGCCAGTCGTCTGCGCGCATCTGTGAGCGTGCGCAGTGCTGTCTTCTACGGGGCAATGCTCTGGTGCAGTGTTAGCACACTGTCGACCTGCTGTGTTGGCAGGTCGCCTTTCTGCAGTGCTGGCGTGGCTCCTCTACGCAACGCTGGCAGGCGGTCGACCATGCTGTGCTGTCGGTCGACCAGGCTAGCTGCAGAGTTGCTAGGTGCCTGATGTAGTCATTCTTGTCATTGCTTGTTCAACAATCCTGTAATTCCAACTTTGCTAGTGGAAACTCTTGCCTATTTCTCCTGTGATTGTGCAAGCACTAAGGAACTAGGCAAAGCTACGATCACTTCTAGTAGTTCGTGCCAACCCCATAGTCTAGCTCACTACCGTTGTAGAGTAATCTCCGCACCCCCCCCCCCCCCCCCCCCCCCCCCCCCCTCCTCTTGGGCAACGAACAGCTGAGTCTGTCATGACATTTATGTGAGTAATTTCCACAGCGTTTTCCAACGATTTTGGAGGTCAATTCGTGTGGTAGCTGGCGTCAGCGGACCTGCATTGGCACCTGCACAAACAACCCCGAAGTTGTCATCATGTGTGGCAGCTGGCGTCGACGGATCTACGTCAACGGTTGCGCGAAGATTTCGGAAATGAAATTGGGATGAAATTGGGAGCGGAGCTGATAATAGCGAAGTAGGGCAGGGTCGAGAATTGACAGCTGGTGGTACAGCCGGGCTATACCGGAGCAGGGGTGTTCAAGCATGCAAACGACGCGCGTGTACAGTGATGGCAGCGGCAAGTTGGGGTTTCAAGACCCGACGGGACGAGGGGAGGGATCTGGTCCACGAGGATAAGGACAGCATGAAGGCAACGGTGGAGATCGACTTTGTACATATTTGGGCTAAGTTGAACGATGGAGATCGAGTGCATGTCGGATGTTGTGTGTGTGTGCCTGTTTGCTCGCGTATGTGTGTGCAGGTTCTGGCCTCCCACCATGCTCTTGGCAGTGAATCAGTAGCTAGCAAGAGTTCCAGATTCCCTGGTTGTTTGTTTGTTTTCTCACAATACTCGATTGGCATGTGTAAACTTCCCAAGCATAGCTAGCCAGGACAGGGAAACCAGTCGATGGATTAGGGAGTTTTTCGACAAACAAACAAGTAGGTAAGCTGCTACATGCAGCTGAGATCCGGGCGAACGTACCTGCCAGAATATCTGGGGGTAACGAGACGTCGGACGACATGCACGAAGAAATGGGAGCGGGAGCCCGTGGAGGGGCGGGTACGGGAAGGACGTCTGTCGGGACTGGTATAGAAGAAGGCGAGATATACCGAATCCCGTCGAGGCGACAAATTCAGGGAGAACTGCTCGTTAGGGAAGACGCAAGTCAGGGAGAACTGCTCATTGGAGTAAGGGAAGACGCATCGCATCACACAAGTAATTCGGAGATCAGACGACTGCAACAGGGGGTGTGTGAAAGAGGGGGTGAGACAGTTAGAGGGAGGTTGGGCGGAGGCAGCCGTCGTGTCGCCAGCAGCGCCAGTAGTCCGGAGGCTACAATCTCCGGTAGCCCAGCGAGCCTGCTGCGCCAGTCGCCCGTGGGTCCGTTGCTCCTGCCGCTCAGAGTTAGCCGCGGAGCCAGTTACTCCAGTAGTCCGGAGGCTACAATCTCCGGTAGCCACAGTGTGCGCCGCTCCTGTTGCCCGTGTTTCTGCAGCTTCACCAGCCGTCTCCTATCTCGTCTCCTCTCACAGTCCCTCCTCCTCCTCACTTGTCCTCTGTGATAGCCTCTAGCTTTGCTTATATTTGTGAACTATAAACTGCTGCTTCTTGTACTTGTGCTCATAATGTGTGGTGACGTTGTGATCCACCCTGAGCTTGTTTTGCTTTGCTTGTTGTGCTGATTACACCCCACTTTGGCTATGGGGGTGTGTCAGAATGTCATATTTGTCTAGCCTGCAGTGGGGTACTCAATAGTGAGTACAGCCCAATCTAGGGTTTCCTATATGTACTCAACTGCCTGCTAGTGCAAACACCCTCTTTTCTCTTTTCTCGTTTCTAACTTTCAACTGCTGTTTCCAACAAACCGGACTGGCGGCTTCTCTGAAAGCGGGCTGGAGGATCGAAAAATGGACACATACGGAGGTGAACCCACGAGTACGGAAGATGGCTCAGCACCATGTGGAGATACTGAGGCGCACCTACCCAGGACAAATCTTGGAGGGAGCGACCGAAGGCAACTGGGGCGACTCGGGGCACGACATGAAGGAAATAACCGAGGCGCATGTGGTGGCATGGGGACGAGTTGACGTGCTAATTGCCGGCTGGGAGTGCTAGGGAGTATCCAGGGCGGGGCATGGGCAGGGGCTGGAAGACAGCAGGTCCGCAGTGTTCGAGGACATGGTGCGCGTCATGCAACTGATATTTCTGCTGCACGGTGAATACCTATACCTTCTGGAGAACCCAGACTTCGCGTCGGACCCAAGGGAACCAGTGAGAGCGGCATTCCAGCGAGTGACGTCCCTGCTGGGGGCAGGAGTAGTGATGGATGCGGCGCAGGCAAGATCAAGGTCACACCGGGACAGGCGCTACTTGCAAAATGGCATTTCGGAGGGTCGCCTGCGGCTGGAACTCTCTAAGCCGGAGAGGCCTGCAGTTAGGCTGGTGAGGGACATTCTGGAGCCCAACGGGGAGGAGGCGTCCGTACGATACCCCGATCATCCAGCGCCGTATCCATGTAACACGCCCGGAGAGCCAAGGCAAGCCTGTCCAACAATGGTGGCATATACAGGCTCCTACGAGTTTCAGATGAAGGAGGGAGTACCTGGCCCTGGGATGGTGAAAGATTTGCGGACCGGAGCGTGGGGAGAGCCAAGGTGTTGGAAAGAGAGCTGGCGATGGGCTTCTTACCCGGAGCAACCGCAGCAGTAGACGTGGCCGAATGGGAGTGCAAGCGGGCACTGGGGCAGAGCATGGACGTGTACATTCTTGCAGGGGTCAGAGGGATGATGACGAGTATGCCTAAATTAGGCCCTTATGCTGGCTGCATGCTTATGCTTATCACTGTATTTATGTTACGTTTCGACTTGGCTCCTAATGGGTACCGAATCACTTAGTGCACAAACTGGCCACGGTGCCGTCAGCCGGCTGGAACAGTGAGCAACCCTCCCCCGCCCCCTCCCAACGCCACCCAGCGCCCCTCCCCCCACCAACTCCTCCACCACGACAGAACCGCACCGAACGCCTCAAATCCCATATGGCCTCGGCCACCAAGTGTTGAAAAAATTGGGACCATCCAACAACATGGCGACCATTTCCCGATCCGCGTCGCACTGCAACCACCTCCGCATACGATTGGTGGATGGACTGGAAGAGGCGCACTTGGAGTCGCAAGAGCATCGCAAAGCCCATGTTCCACCGCATGGCCCGAATCCCAGACTTGATACGCCGAACCAAATTTAACCGATTTCCATCGAACCGAAACCAACCAATTTCCTTTTAAGGGGATCGAACACTGGACACGTGAGAAAGAAAGGGAACAAAAGCGGGCGCGAACATTGCTTGGTGATCCTTCACAGTACACTGTTCCAACACTGCTCTTATGTTGGTGGTGCAGATAACATTCCTCTTAGGAGCACTAGCTCCACGGGCCATGGCAATTCCTCGAACCGTGCCGGCTGCGCCGTTCGCGGCAGTGGCCTGGCTGACGCTTTTCACGTCATCCCTGGTGTTCTCTCACGCGCGGGACCTCTCGAACCGCCATCTTCCCGCCACTAGGAACTTCGAAGACGTGACTGCCTCGAAGTTCTCCTCACTTCCATCCTCTTCTTCTCGCGAAGGCGCCGGATATGACGGCGCGCGCGGGAATGTCGTAATCCCGATTTCGCACAGCTCTCTCGCCACCGCCGCTTCCGCGGAAGTAGGAGAGCCGGCGCAATTCTCGACGCGGTCCGGGATAAGCGGTTATGTCGGACCGCAGCTGGCGGGAGAATCGGCGACCCCGGAGTGGCTGGACCGGGACGCGCTGCATGAGTTGGAAGAGCGACTCAAGGATCTGCTTGGCGGCGAGCCGCCTCTCGGAATCGACGGCGATGATGATGATGGCGATGATGGCGCGTTTAAAGCTGACGATTGGGAATCGCCGGGGCCTTATTATGGCGACAAGGGCGAAACCGAAGGTGGTCGATTGACTGGAGCGACGTACGAGAACGCGATTGCGAACCGGGAGCTGGAAGTCGGCGTAATGACGGCGATCGGCGTTACCCCGAGCGGCAGCAGCAGCGCCAGCGACCGCGGCTCCATCCGCAGAAACGATTGCGGCAGCAGCGAGGACTGTGGTGGTGCGGAGGGTGACGCGACGGTGCCGCGGAGGAGATCGCTGGGGAGAAAGCCCATCGTACCGAATCTGACCGTGGCTCAGGATGGATCGGGAAACGTCACTAACCTCCAGGTGTGTATCATTTACGTATGTGGTTCGCCGGCGGGTGGCTATTACTGTCTAAGGACTACCATATGGTATATGTTGGCCCAGCCTGCTACCGACTGAGTTGAAAGGGCCTGTTTGTATGGTGGGTAGCACACCCCCCAGGACGCATCTGTAGCCCTCCCACACTCAACTGGGGAACGATCCCAGTGCCCCACCAACAGCATATTCATTTGTCCTAAACCCATGCTGATACCAAAATTGCATGCTGTTCTTGTTCCTCTTATTATATATTCTCCAACAGCACCATGCTGACATGGCGCCAGTACCATGCTGACATGGTGTACCATGACCATGGCTATGCCCTCTTGTCAAACAGTCCAAGTTCCAACACGTGAACAATCTAGTGCGACATCTCCATTCATTCACCTACCCCCGTACCCTCTCCATAACTCCCCACCAGGACGCTGTGAGGATCATCAACAGCGACATGAGCGGGTCGTGGTACGTAGTGCACTTGAAGCCGGGGCGATACGTGGGCAACGTGCAGGTGGAGCGAGCAAACGTGGTGCTCTTAGGCAGCGGTGCATGGCGCACGGTCGTCACAGGGAACCGCAGCAACGGAGCTGGCTTCGAAACATGGGATACGCCTTCCTTTGGTCAGTTGGTCTGCATGCTGCCCCGCGCTTCCACCACTCCCCTCTCCTTCCTCTCAAATCCTCTTGCCTCCCTTCTCAGCTCCCCGCTAAACTCCCTCGTCTCAACCCCGCCCTCTCCCCCACAACCGTCTCGATTGTCGTCCTGCTTTTCAATCTATCACTTCGACTTCTTACCCTGCGCATTATTGTGCATGTTTATTCCGGTTCTTTCTCTCCCGTCCTTCTCTCTCCATGCCTGCCGGCCACCAGCGGTGGCGGGAACAATTTTGTGGCAATGGGCATTCGCTTCGAGAACACGGCACCGGCGAGCATGGAGGCAGCAGTGGCGTTCCGATCAGCGGGGGACAAAACCATTGCATACCGCTGCGTTTTCTCTGGCTTCCAGGTGCACTCTCTTCTCCTTGCTCTCTTCCCTCTTCTCTCTTCTCTTCTCTCCTGCATGATCTCTTCTGCCTGTTCCCTCGGTCCTCTTCTCGCTGCTCGTTGCTCCCTGCTCTCTGCTTGGTTGTCAAGGTGTTGAGGTGGTTTGAGGCTGCCACGCGGAGCGCCGAACGGCGGCTGCTATTTGGAGCGCCGAACGGCGCCGTCGCTAAGACCTAATGGCGCTAATCTACTACCTACGAACGGTGCAGAACGAAGGATCTATGGCAGCAAGGAGTTCGGGAAGAATCGGGAGAAGAAATAGAATGGAAGCAGGGGAAAACGAGTGGAATACCTAGTTGCGATGTGAAGGAACTGTCGAGAACATTCGCGGCTGGAATTGGGCCAACCACAGCGCACCGTAATCGGTGTAACTTCGGTTCGCTAGTTTCGGTGTCAGTTTCGGGTTACCACGCGGTTTCGCGTGCGACGCGATATGAGACGCGGCGGACGCGTTACACGAGTCCCACATAGCTGAAATTGGTTGGATATATATTGCTTGTTCTGTTTTGCAATGTCATCACCATTTCCAGTGAAAATCCAACTGTAAATCCAGAGACTAAGTGCTGAAACCTGTCAACCTACATAGTGACCAGAGACTATCGCCAAGTAATACAAGGCCCCACATCGTTTCCCATGTGCTCTGCTCCACCTTTCCGTTTCCAACTCTGCATTGGCCTGGCCTGCACTGCTGTAACCATTTTGCCACTTCCACACATATCATAACCAATGCATGTCCTTCCCTTCCCTTCCCTTCCCTTCCCTTCCCTTCCCTTCCCTTCCCTCCCTCTTTTTACGAACCTTAACTTCTGGCCCCTCGCCCCTCGTTTCTTCTGCTTTACTCAACCATAAGAAAACCCGTTTCTCACACCTATCCCGCTTCTTCCTCCTCTCCCATTCCCGCTACATCGCCCTCTCCCTCCCCCTTCTCCCCCTCTACCTTCTCTCTCGTTCGTCCTCTCACTCTCCCTCACCCCCGCTTTCGCCCTCTCGCCTGCGCCCCCTTCCCCTCCCCTCCTCCCCTCACCCTCAGGACACCCTGAACTCGCACCGCGGGCGGCAGTACTACCGGAACTGCGCCATCTATGGCCACGTGGATTTCATCTACGGTCGCCACGGCGCGGCCGTCTTTGACCGCTGCCGCATCGTCCCCTTAGCGCGCCCGGGGGAGAACGGCGCCGCCACCATCGCCACACACGGCGGAGAGACACGGTCGAAACGCGAAGGCGGGTTCGTCTTCTACCGCTGCTGGATTGCTGGGAACGCTCCAGGGGTGACGGTCTACCTGGGGAGGCCATGGAGAGCACACGCTCGTGCCGTGTATATGTTTAGCTACCTGTCGAATGCTGTCCTTCCCGAGGGATGGGTTCCGTGGCCTGGGGAGAGCTTTGGGCCGAAGGCTTTTCTGGGAGAGTATCAAAACACGGGGCCAGGTGCGGGGATGAGTGGGCGTGCGAGGTGGGTTCGGCCCGGGTTGCTGAGTGAAGCGCAGGTGGCTCCGTTCATGCCTGAAGCGTTTATTCGGGGCAGCCGGTGGGTGGGCAAAACACCTGTGGAGATCGTGTACCCTTGATGGCCTGGGATTTGAAGGCGGCGTGGTTCATGGGAAGGCAGCTCACATGTAGTGCAGATGGAAAGCGGGGCAGAGGTGGAAAGCGGAAGTGGAAGGCGAACGTGCAGGTGGCGAATGGCTTGGGAAGAAGCGATGCAAGTGGTTTTTTTTATTTTTCTCAGGAGGTGGATAGGAAGGATCGAGGACATAATGGGGGGTTGATGTTGTGAGGATGAGCAGCTGAGTGCGGCTGATTCTCTGGCGTTTTGGCTTTGATGCACACGGTTTGGTGGTGAGGGTCCACTGCTCTTGAGCTCATCTCAAGCTCTGTACCAGCTGGATCATTGTGCATTATTTTCATTCTGTTTACCTGTAACATAATCCCCTGGATAGAAGCACAGGTACACTTATAATCTACCGTAAAAGGAAAAACTATGGGATAGTGCACCTAGGGTGTCCTGATAAATACTGGTATCTTCCTCAGTGGATCTTTATGTTTAGGACGGGGAAGGTTCACATCCATGGGTGGAAATGGTAAAAGATCCTGTCACCAAAGACATGCATGGCTAGAGTTTCAATTGCGAGAGCTGACTTTGTATGCGAGCGTGCGTCAGTGGTGGCAGCCTGACAATATTGAACCTGCAGAGCAGCTACAACAGCTGGTGAAAGGAGGCATTACACTGCCATTGGTTGGTGAAATTATTAGATGGTTTCCTCTCTCCTGCGTCACCACCATGCCATGATGATGTCTGTCGAACCCCCCTGCAGAAGCTGACACCCCACAGCTGTTTGGTTCCCCGGACGACTCAACATTTGTTGTCACTCATGTTCTGGTCCAAAAAGGAGAGTCTCGAGGCCTTTCCATAGTTCCCTCCCACAGCTCATGATATGGATGCACAACACACTGATACCGTAACAGATTCTGCCTCCCTCCGTCTCCACAGACACTCACCACGCCACCATCCCCATTCAAAACGGCCCAGGATGGAAGCATACAGTGGAACAGCGCGAAGCCAGAGACAGAGGAGAAAGGCTGGCACCATGAGCACAGAAGGTAGGTAGGGCAGTGAGCGATTATTATGATACTGGAATGTGGAAAATGGCTCAACTGACGTTGCTGGATGGCATTCACTTGAGTTATCTTCCATCGGTGGATTGGATATGCGCGGATTGGAAGCCCTGCCGAATCAATCTTTCTTCTGCACTGTTCTCACGCAGTGGCTGGCTGTCCTCCCCCCCTCCCTGTCCTCCCATCCCATGTGATCCTATTCTCTCCTGTTGCCACACCCACACTCCTGTCTTCCTGCTGTTCCTTGGTTTTCTCCCCAGTTCCCCGTGTTGCACATGTACCCTCATAGGAATGCACAAAAGCAATCAAACTCGCCAACACACACAAGCTCACTAACACACACAAACGCACAAACACACACAAACTCACAAACACTGCACACATGCACACAAGCACACATGCACACATGCAAACATTCACACATTTACACATTCAGACATTCAGACATTGACACATTGATATATTCAAATTGAACAATCACAACTTCCCACCCTCCCCTCCCCATACACACAACACAGACGCACCCCACCTCCCAAGCGCAGTCACACGCACACACACACGCACACACGCACACACACATGCACACACGCACACACACATGCACACACGCACACACACATGCACACACGCACACACACACGCACACACACACGCACACACACATGCACACACGCTCACACACACACACACACGCTCACACACACACGCTCACACACACACACACACACACACACGCACGCACGCACGCACGCACGCACGCACGCACGCACACACACACACACACACACACACACACACACACACACACACACAGACAAACACAAGAAATCATGCAGGCAAGCATTACAGTAGCTAGTGCCAATAGGCTTCACGTTACATCACCCTTCCAATGATAATGCCCCTTGTGATCAGCTCACATCAAGCGGCAGCAGTGTGGTTTCTCATAGGCTCATCATGTGTGTGTGCCAATGCAGCACACCATAGCACAGCAGAGCCGCCTGCCTCGATCCAGCAATACCACTTGATTGACAACTCACTTCGCTCCCTCCCTTGTCCCTTGTTGACTGCACAGATGCACGGCATGTACGGCATGCACGGCATGCATGGCATCTTGCAACCTGTTTTCTTCTTCTGACCTGTCACGCACCCGTAACCTTGCCGGGTTCACCAGTTTCAGATTCAGAATTATTCACGTGCATCAGTGGTTGAACTGTCACCCCGAGCGAGAAGCACACCGCGCTGTGTCCTCTCTAACCACCCACCCGTGCACCTCACCTCAAGCGACTGTTCCCGTGGCACTGTTGTGGCATGCTGCTCCATATCCCCCACTTTCAGCCCGCCATGCCGTACCATTTCAGCCTGCAGCTCCCACTGTGGCAGGCAGGGTCAGGCGAGTGCGTGGCAGGTGTTCGTTGGTTGGGTGGCAGGCAGGTAGATTGTCGTAGGTCTAGGGTCTAGGGTTTAGGGTTTAAGGTTTAGGGTGTGAGGCGGAAGTCGTGCTCCTTGGCCCTGTGATACAGCACTGCTGACGCCTCCAGCCTGTGCGGAGGGAGGAGGGATGTGGGAAGATGGGGGAAGGGTGGGTTGGGGAGGACGGGTGGAGAAGGAGCAAGGCAGGGTGTCTGGGGGATGGTGGGAGAAGGGGTACGGGAGGAGAATAATGGGGCCAGAGTGGAGCAGCATGCATGGGTTATGGAATGACTGGTCCTGAGATATTGTGGCGTGACTCTTGCCAAACCCCACCCCATCGCACCCCACCCCACCCCACCCCATCCAATCCCATCCCATCCCATCCCATCCCATCCCATCCCATCCCATCCCATCCCACCCCATCCCACCCCACCCCACCCCACCCCATCCCATCCCATCCCATCCCATCCCATCCCATCCCATCCCATCCCATCCCATCCCATCCCATCCCATCCCATCCCATCCCATCCCATCCCATCCCATCCCATCCCATCCCACCCCATCCCACCCCACCCCACCCCATCCCCATCCCATCCCATCCCATCCCATCCCATCCCATCCCATCCCATCCCATCCCATCCCATCCCATCCCATCCCATCCCATCCCACCCCATCCCACCCCACCCCACCCCACCCCATCCCATCCCATCCCATCCCATCCCATCCCACCCCATCCCACCCCACCCCATCGTATCCCAATGTGGCAAGAAGGGCACGTACCATCCTGGGCGCACCACGTGCCGGCCCGAGTTAAGCGCCCACGTCACCTGCAGGGAGGGGCCAGGGGGGCATTGCGCGTCATGATAGTGGCTCAAGGCACGCAGTGCATGCACGGGCGGTCCAGAGGAGGCAACACAGTATGTGAGAGTCGGGAAGAGAAGAGAGTTTGTGTGTGTGTGTGCAGTGAGAGGTATGATGCGCTCAGATCTAACCAGCACTCTGCACTACTACAGTCCCTTAACACCCTGCTCATACCTCTCAACATCCCGGCCTCCCATCTTCCATCCCTTGCGAACCAATCAACCTCTCGCCCACCCTCTACTCTCATTTCCCAGTTCTCTCCTTTCCCAAATCTCCACTGTTCCCCCTCTTCCCCTTCCGCCCACACAATTCACATCCCCCGCCAACCTCCTTCCACTCCACTGCCGCACCTTATCTGTGCCGAGTGCGAGAGCCACAACGTGTGTGACGGCATCGCAGAGAGTGAGTGTGCACACTGCCCCGAACTGCTCTGCCAGTCGCCACAACGGGTGCGAGCGCGCATTCGCCTCGCCCACCTGTGCGATGGAAGGAGACGGGTGGTGGGAGGGCGCAGGGGAGAGAGGGAAGGCAGGAAGGAGGAGGGAGGAGAGGAGGGGACGGGAAAAAGTGCGGAAAAGCGGAGGGAGGAAAAGCGGGAAACAGGAAGTGGGTGAAACATAGGAGAGCCGGAGACATGATGAAAGAAGCAGGAGGGCCAACATGAGGAGGGCCAACATGAGGAGGGCCAACATGAGGAGGGCATGGGAGTCCAGGCAATGCAAACCAGTGAGCGCAACCAGATTGAAACACAGATGCTGCTACACTTGGTCCAGAGGAAAGTGAAAGTAACATGAAATGAGGAGGAGAGGTGCTACGACGGCAAAACAAAAGACGAACACACGCATTTTACTGCCAAGGATATCAGAGAGGCAATAATTCTTGACCCAAAAGACCGGGGTGGGGCAGACCGGAAAGATGCGGGAGAAGACGATGCAGCAGCCGGCGAGCACACGGCGCTGCTGCTCTGCCAGTATGCTGCGCACGTCCAGGTGGTGCTGCTGCATGCCCCGCTGCCTACTCGCAAAGAACGACCCGTGAATGCGCTCCAACACCTGCGATGGTATTGAGGGTTGGAAGAGAAGCCACGTCAGGGGAGGGGGGAGTGCGGGGGGAGAGAAGGAGAGACGGATTGATGAAGCCCATGGATAGGGTTGGCTCTCACACCATGGCTGTGATACGACACGAGGGCAGCGCGGGATGAGGGGCGAAGGGGGAAGAAGAAGTGCCAAAGGAAGAAGGGCACCGTGGGAAAGGGCATGCCACCAGCATGACTGGGGGTTCAAAAAGGGTGTGTAAGGACCGGGGCACGGCAGGGCATGGCATGGCATGGCATGGCACGGCAGGGCACGGCACGGCATGGCAGGGCAGGGCATGGCAGGGCAGGGCAGGGCATGCATGTGACTGACCGTGAGGATGGAGGCGAGCATGCCATCGGCGGCCCTCTCGTCATGCCCCACCTCCATCAGCGCTGGCCCTGGCAGCCCCATGCTGCGCCGGCTGTGCGGGAAGTACGTGTACCTGCGCGTGCCCATGCACGCACACATCCACAAGGAAGGCAGGGTTGCAGAGGGGCGGGGTGGAAGGGGCACGGGCAGGGGGGCACGGGCAGGGGTGGCAGGGGCAAGAGGGGGGCAGGGGTGGAGGGTAAGGGGTGGAGGGGAAGGGGTGGAGGGGAAGGGGTGGAGGGGAGGTGGTAGCACGACATTAGAAGGTTACAAAGGGCATGAAAAAGCACGAAGAGAAGGGGAGCAGAGAAGAGGGCATGCATGCTGCTCTTTGTGTCATGAACAGCAGAGTAAGGCAGAGTGTGGAGTGGAGGGGAGGTAACGACTGGTGCAGATGCAGTGCATAGGCTGGAGAAAAAAAGACGGACAGGGCCGCCTGGTAAGACATAGATTATCGGTACACGAAAACAGAACACTGGTACACTCAAGGCAGTAAACAGGGGCATGGGAGGTCGAAGGGGGGGAGGGGAGTGGGAGCACAGGGTAGCATGGGCAAGTAAAAGGGGACAGGGGGGGGAGAGGGGTGGGTGGAAGGTGGGAGTGGAGAGGAGTGGAATGGAGTAGAGAGGAGTGGAGTGTGGCGCACCGTTCAACGAGGATGAGGTTGCGGGCATGGTGAGGCCAGACGGAGGAGGAGTCGTCCACTATGAGCACACTCGACTCCATCCCCAACACGCCCTCCAGATCCTTACTCCGTACCACCACGCCCTGCCCCCCTCCCCCCGTCCCTGCCCCTCCCCCTGCCCCTGCCCCTGCCGCATCCCCCCCAGCTGCAGGCGTAGTTGCGGCGGCGGCGGCGGCGGCAGCAGCAGGGGAGGAGGAGGAGAGGGTGGCGGGGGCCTGAACGCCCTTGGCGATGATGCGGGAGTGGAAGAGCGTGCCAAGCGGGTCCAGGATGCGCGCCATCTCGGAGGCATACCAGCGGTTGCCCATCGTGTACACGTGCAGCTCAAACAGTGCTGCCACCTGCGCGTGTGCGGTTGCCATGCCATGGGGTATGCGGGGGTGTGGGGACGGGGAGGGATGGGGGTTGGGGGGGATGGGGATGGGAGAGGAGATGGCGTGAGGAAGGAGAGGGGAGGAGAAAGGCCGTCCAGAACGAAATGCATGTGAGCGAGCTGGGAGCACTCCACTCCAGTATGCATGCGTGCAAGTGATGCGTCCCTTGTCTATTTCTGTCATCCCAGCTGTGTGATCAACAGCAGGGACAGACAGAAGGCAAGGCAAGGCACGCACGCGGTGGAGGAAGGTGCGCACGCCAGGCCGCAGCTTGGTCCACATGCCCATGTGGGGAAACCGGTACAGCTCCCTCCCTCCCCCTGCACTGCCCTCCCCGCCCGCCTGCCCCTGATCCTGTGCCTTCGCCTGCGCCTGCTGCTGTTGCTGCTTGCTCTGTTGCTTGTCCCGTGCCTCCATGTGGCGCAGCTGCTCCTCCCACTCGGGGCCGATCTCGGAAAACTGCACGTGGAGCGGGCAGGGGAGGAAGAAGTGATACGACGGGTGTTGGAAACACAGAAGCCGGGTTACAGCACTGCATATGTGTGTGTGCGTGTGCACGTATGAGTGCATGTATTTGTGCATGTGTTTGTGCCCCTTGAACATTCTCACCCGTGACTCACTCAACCACCACCAAACACAGCTCCCCTTATCATTCTCAATTACGTGTTGCCTTCCGCACAAGAGGGAGGCGAGAGTGAGAACGCGCAAGCTAAAGGGAGGGAAAGAGAGTGAGGAGGAGGGCAAAGGTTAGAGAGAGTGAGGGAACGATAGTGAGAGGGAGGGAAAGAGTGCGACAGAGCGGGAACGAAAGAGAGGGAGAGGGAAAGAGCGTGAGTGAGAGCGGCACCTTAGCGGAGTTGAGGAGCGTGTGGTCGAGGTCCAGCACGAGGCACAGCTTGTTAACAGCCAGCAAGCTCTCTGTCTCCGCCATGCGCCGCTGCCTCTCCGCTGCTATCCCCCTCACCTCCCCTCTCTGCTCCGCCGCACCTGCCCCATCTGTGCAGCCCCCCAGCCTGCCTGCTGCTGCACCCGCCCCTGCTGCTGCTGCTGCCTCCACTTTGCTGCCAGCACCAGCGTCCTCTTCTTCCTCGTCCTCCCCGTCGCTAAACCGCTCCTCCACCACCCCACCATGCTGCCCTGCAAATGCACTGCCTTTTCGCCCATCACTGCCTTGCCCTTCGATCTCCACACCCAACACTCCAGCAACAGCAGCAGCAGCAGTCGGCACTGCCTCAAAAGCAGCAGCAGCAGCAGCATCAGCAGAAGGAGTGGTGGCAGCAGCACACTCACGTGAGCTGGCATCCCACCGTGTGTCTGAGACTTGCTGCTCAGGCGCCCCTTCCGGCCCCATTTTCGCCCACTCCTCGTTTTCCACTGAAGCGGGCCCTGGTTGTGACTGCATGCCGAAAACCCTTGGATCCCCGACTCTCCTCCGCCCCACCACCTGCCCCCCAGCACCTCCTGCTGCGGCCCTGCCATCCTCGCCCCGCACTTCCCCTGCTGTCGCCACAATCCCTTCACACGCCACACTCTCCTCTCCATGCGGCACCAATGCACGCGCTTGCTCCTCTCCGCGCACTGCACCACGCGCTGCTGCTTCTCTCGCCCCTCCTCTCCTTGCGTCGCTGCCGCTACCTCTTGCTGCCTCCCATTCCTCCTTTACACTCATGACCACATCATCAGCATCACTCGCACCGCCAGCACCGCCAGCATCATGCAGCATGCGCTGTCTCTTGCCCCCTCCCACCTCCACCATGTCCTCCCACGCTCCTTCTCCTTCCTGCTTGCCACTGCTCTGCCAGCCCTGCCCCTGCCTCCCCTGAACAGCAACACCGGCAGCAAAACCAGCAGCAGCAGTGGCAGATCCTCCGGTGGCATCTGTATCTGGTGCGGAGCGCATGCGCTTGCGGGGATCTCTGTGCCTAATAATGTCCTTGTCCTTGGATGGCTCCGCTGCCACTGCACTAGCAGCAGAGCCCACTGTTGTTGCACTTGATGCTTGTACCGTTGCAGCAAATGCAGCAGAACCAGCACCAGCAGCAGCAGCAATAGGAGCAGCAGCAGCAGCAGCAGCAGCATGGGAGGTAGCGGTAGCAGCTGCTGCATGTGTTGCAAGCAGAGGGGGCTGTGGCATGTGTGCGTACAGGGGAGATGGGTGAGCGGGTGGCAGTGTGTGCATGGATGGGGGGACATGCATGTCAAGAGAGCTCGTGTTAGGAACAGGAGGTGTGTTACTGGGAGGTGGCGAAGAATGCTTGAACCACACCGGCTGCTGGTGGTGCGTAGCAAGCGAAGGTGTTACACCATCCCCTGCTGTCATGGATCCCGGGGATGCAGAGTGGTGCAGAGAGGCGAGGTAAGAGAGCAGGTTGGAATTGGACTCGAGAGCATGGTGGAGGGAAGAATAGAGCGAGGAGTGGGGAGGTGGTGTGAGAGAGGAGGTGGGAGAAGCAGCTTCACAGGTGGTGGCTGGGGGATCAACATCATCTCCAGCAAAGGGATTGTATGAGTACCGCGCTGCTTCCACTGCACCTGCTGTCGCTGCCTCCGCTGCTCCTGCTCCTGCTGCAGGCTGTGCTGGTAACACACATGCTGCTGCTCCACCTGCTGTTGCAGCTGCTGCTGCCGCTGCTGTTGCATTCAGCAGACACGCATTTGACCCCTCTGCCCCAGCAGCTGCAAGGATCTGCTCCAGTGCTGCCATCAAAGTCGCTGCATCCGGGTGAAAGGGCGGAGGGGCTGCTGCTGGAAGCGCAGGAGAGAATGGGGACAATCTGCCTCCGCTACTTCCTGTAGCCACTGCACCACCTGATGCTGCAAGCTCCTGAGGTAGTGGTGGTGTGCTTGATCGTGGTACCGGTGGTGTTGATGATTGTGGTGGGGGGCCGGGGGGAAGTGGTGGCAGTGGGGGCGGCAGAGGCATCATGTTGGGTGGTGGTACTGGTGCGCGTGGTGGCAACGGTGCTTGCACTGATAACTGTGGCTTTGGCTGTGGTGGTGGCAGAGGTGGCAGTGGCGGCAGGGGTGGAAGCGGTGGTGTTGCAGGAGGGTGAGGAACCATGCTTGCTGTCGCTCCTGACCCCTGCTCTTGTTTTGCTCTTGCTGCCACCTGTGCTGCTGGCGGCAGTGGTGGCGTTGGCGGCAGCAGCGGCAGGGGTGGCAGTGGTATCACCGATAGCTGCTGGTTCATTCTGGAATCTGCAAGCGGCAATCCTCCTCCTCCTGCTGCTGGTGCTCCGCAGCCGCGCCTCTCCTGCTCTGCTAGCTGCATGTGCCCCATAAAGAACGCAGCGCATACTTTGTCCCTGTCTGCCGCATTCTCCTCATCATCGATCTCCCCCTCCTCCGGCTCACTCCCTTCCTCCCCTTCCTCGTCTCCATGCACAATTTTCCCATCACCAGCTTCAGCACCAGCAGCCGCAGGAGCAGCAGCGCCAGCAGCAGAACCACAGGCCGCACCACTCCTAGTACTGCTGCCGGCATCATTGCCACCTGCCGTTTTGCTGTCCACATGATTAAGATTTCTCGCACTTTTCCATCCTGTTTCCATGGCCATAGCTTCTGTGCTGTCCTTTCCCTCTGCACGAGTGACTGCCTCCCTTTGTTTTTTCGCCTCTTCTTTTCCATTGCCTCTGTCGTGCGGCCCCCCATCCTCCCTGCTACTCTTCCCACCTTCCATGTGCCTTGCTGTGGCCTTCGTCTTCTCATCCTGATTTGGCCCCTTTGCCTCCTTGTTACCTTCAACAGCCAACCCTTTCATCCTTTTCCTTTTTCTTCTCCCCACCTTCAACTGCGCCTCCATTTCCTCCTCTTTTGAACTTTCCCCCTCCTCCCCTGCATCTTTCTCCCCCTCTTTCACCTCGTTTGTCTCTTCCTCCTTCTCCCCCGCCTCTTCCTCCAGTTTCACCTTCTCCTCCCCTTTATCGCTCCCCTTCTCTTTCTCTTTCTCCTTTTCAATCCCTTCCTTCTCCCTCTCCTCCCTCTCCTCCCTCTCCTTCCTCAACTTCTCCTTCTGCTTCCTGAACAGCTTCCTCTTTTCCCTCTTCTTGTCCTTCCTCAATCTCTCCCTATTCTGCCGGTCCTCCTCCGTTGCCTTCGCTTCCTTATCGTTCTCCTGCTCCTTCTCCTTCCCTCCATCCTTCTCCTTGTCCTTAATCTTCTCCTTTTCCTTTTCCTTTTCCTTCTCCTTCTCCTTCTCCTTTCCCTTCTCCTTTCCCTTCTCCTTTTCCTTTTCCTTCTCCTTCTCCTTCTCCTTTCTCTTCTCCTCCTTTTCCTTCTCCTTCAATTTCTCCTTACTCCCCATCTCATTTTTCGTCTCCTTTTCCGTCCCTCCCTCCTTCCCGCCCAACCGCCCCTGCGTCGCGCCAACGTCCGCCAGGCCAAGGCCGAGGTCCACATCGCCCTCCATCTCGTCCCAGCTGCACACGCCACTGGCCCACGCCATGCTGTACAGATTCCGCATCGACGTCGACCCTGCACTGCCACGCGCAGCACCAGATGCAACAAACGGAGCAGCAGCAGCGGTGGCAGCGGCAGCAGGGGCAGGAGATGGCTCGGGCTCAGCAGCAGCGCGAGCAAGTGGAGTGGAAGATGGGCGAGGGGAGAAGGACGACCGCGGGCGGGATTGCTTGGGGCTTGCGGAGGCTTGGTGAGTGAATGAGTGGCGGCCAGAGGAGGTGGAGGTGAAGGCTTTTGAGTGATTTGACGCGTGGCTGTGCTTTGGAGGGCTGGACTCGCGCGGGCTGGACGGATGAGGACTGCAGGAGCGGGGCGAGGGGGATGGGGTCCTGGAGGGCATGCGGGCGGCTCTTTTCGCAATGGACGCAGAGCGGTGCAAAGCGGTGGATGGAATGGTGAGGTGAGAGGATTGCGAATTAAGGGGAAGAGGAGGGTGTTTCGGAGGCGGAGCAGTGAAAGAGGGAGAGGCAGTGCTTGCAGGAAAATGACCGTTGGCCTGATTCGATATAAGCACTTGATTAGGTGTAGGCACAGGATTGGACATTGAAGGTGGGGTAGGCGAGTGAGACTGAAAAGGCAGCAGTGAGGGAGAGGCGGCGGCGAGGTGAGGGGTTTCCGTGGTAGGGGAAGGGACGGCAGCGGGAGAAGAGGATGTGACAGCAGTGACCTTCCAAGTGAATTTGAACGGAGGGTTGGAGGAAGTTGAGGAGGCATGGTTTACGGTAGCAGTGGTGTTGGGATCGGTCAAGGAAGCGGGAGCAGTAGGGGACGGCGTGGGTGCAGGTGGGGCAAGGTTAGACACGTGCGATGCGGATCTTTCTGTAGGGATGTGAGCATAAGACAACCCGGATGGCTGTGACAATATTACGGGGTGAGATGATGGCGATGGCTGCGATGATAGGAACGGGTTTAACAGCGATGAAGAGTGTGACGACAGAGGAAGATGCGACAATTGCGAAGGGTTTGACAACAGTAACGGATGCAACGAAGAATTCAGCCGCAACGGTGGGATAGATGCGGAGGAGAGGGTAGGAGCCCCTACGAGCGACCCGGAAACGATCGGCATGACTGTCCACTGGCCGACGAAGCTGGAGGCTGAATTGGAAGGCGCGGAAACGGATGCTTGCATCAGCGATGGCGCCAGGGCGCTCGAGCCGATAAGGGATGGACTGAGGGAGAAACTTGCAGCGGAGGGGTTCACTTGAGCGGGCTGAGAGCCTGGATTCGGAATGTAGAAGACTTGCGATGGCGACGGCTGAGTCGCGATCTGAAGGCCGGCTGGCAGTACGGAGGAAAGCAGATTGATGGATGGCGGATACGCATTGTTGTAGCCCCTCGCGGTTTGCTCCTCGACTCCTCTCATCATTGATCAACTCCTAGATTCTTGTCGGATAACGTCTCTGCGTCTGTTGGGAGTGATTAATTTCTTGGCCAATGAAATCAACCGGATTCAATCACACAAGGGAAGGGAGGGGGTTGGGACAAATAGCGAGAATTGAAATTATTGTTATTTTGCCATCAGAATTGCAGACCTGAAAGCGTGTGTGTGAGTAAGACGTGGAGTCTATGACTTCCTTCTTCCTAAAAAATCCAACGAGAATCCTCTACACCATGAATCTGAGTCACTCATATGAAGCTGAAGCTATGGGGGTATCTAACACTGCGGGAGGACGTGGTAGAACCAACACTTTTAGGACGCGTCACCTCCAGCTCGTTTTGGCGATCGATCCTGCGGGGGATCGATGTGTTGGGTCCACAGAGCTTTCACGATGTCGCCAAACTCTCGGGTATCCGTATTCCGCCAAATTGAGAATTCGCACAGTAAATCTGGCACTGTAGATCTGTCACCTCTGGCTCGCACGATCGATGTGCCTCCTGCCACAGATGGATCGTGAAATAGTGGTGAACCATAAATTTGCGATCGTGTTACCTGTGGCTCGGTCTGTCCAGGCGATCGCAAATTTGATGTTGGGCACACTGGTTGTGCAGACCGAACGTGGTGGGTTCGACATGAGGTCGATTTCCCCCGAACCTGCCAAACGAGCTCGAGGTGACGCGTCCTTACTGCGTTGGTAGATCAAGGTTGGTTGGTTGTCCGCGGGAGTTCCGAAGGTTGGTTGATTGCCCGCGAGAGGACCCAGTAAGGACGCGGTAATAGTGCCCATTTCGTAGGATCGCCGTTGTATATCAATTCCAACAACCGATTTTGGCGATTGGTCGCCAATTCGATTCGAAAACCACGCTGTAACGATAAAAAAAGATCATCTGAGCTTTATGTGACAGCAGAATTGCGTAAGCGCGAAGATGCACGCTAGACTCAAATTACACAGCAACCAGATTCGCGAAAAAAAACTTCTTGAGGCAGCTGGTGCAACGCGAAACCCCGGCGTTGCGAATTTTCTGTGTGTCGCATATGCGTGATCGGTCGTCTATGATACGTGAACCCGACGAACCGAGCATTACAGTGACGACTGATCCAAGTGCTTGCGACGTGACAGTGTTTCGCTAAGCGGGTGAAATGGGTCGCACAGTTTTCACATTTCACAGGGCCATCGGTTCGCCGACCAGGTTGCCCTGTGAGTTGCGAATTTCGCGCGCGTACTTGAACGAAATTGTATAAAGCGGGTGACCTCTGCGTGCCAAAGTGATCCCAGCGAATCGAACACATATCTCAACATTTTTTTCCGGTCGTACAACGCCAGGTGCGTATCGATTCACCGATCAATTCCCCAAAGCGATCATGAGATTCGATATTCTCTCACGATCCTCCGAATTTGTCACTTTCACTGCGTCTTCGGATAGCTTTTTCCCTGGTTTGAACGAGGTTCTGTGCGGTGCATAAGCATTAAGCAAGGCGGATCGAAATTGGCGATCTCTACACTTGTACCGCGTATTAACTTCGCTTTTCGCATCCACAGGAGTACAGAACCTTTTCTAACCGCATTAAGTTACGATCCTGAGGCGATCGATCATGAGCGGTAGGCTGTATCGTCGCCCCACCATATTAGTACTCTTGTTGAGCTTTCTCCATGTGTTAAGCAAACGGTAATGCACTGCATGAGAGCTAGCTATTGCGAGGCTAGCGCGAGGTTCGGGCTAGTCTCGAAGCGTAGGCCGACTCGCCAAGTCCAGCGGTGCAAGGTTTGGTAAATATGGCACACGAAGGCGACGAAACACCATTGGCAGTAACGGGCGAAGAAAAGGTTGGATCCGTACGCTATGTTATGTTGAGGTTGGTGGTAAGGAACGCCAGAAAATCCTTACACTATTCCCCTCCCCAATAAGCCCCTCCGCTACGTGAGTGCGCGTATATCGCGGAATCCCCGGCTTCGTACGTACACGTGGAAGACAAGGATGTTATCAGTGTCAGAATGTTATATTACTTAGAATTGTGTAGGCTATAGTGGGGTAGCCCATAAGGGGTACAACCCAATTATGGTTAATACTTGTACCCAACTCTTTCATAGTTCATTCATTCTCGTTCATTCTTCTGACATGGTTTCAGAGCAGGTCCTCCGCTAGGACCGTTTTTTTTTTCCTTTGGCCCACCACAGCGCTACTCCGCTAGCCGCCCTCTGCAGCCCTCGCGCTGCCCCTACTGCCTGTCGCGACAGTTAGGCCCCTAGGCCCCGTCGCCCCTACGCCCCGTCGCACTCGGCCCCGTCGCCCCTCGGCCCTACGCCCTAGGCCCCGTCGCCCCTCGGCCCTACGCCCTAGGCCCCGTCGCCCCGCGGCCCCCGTCGCCCTAGGCCCCGTCGCCCCGCGGCCCTCGTCGCCCACGGCCCGTCGCCCTAGGCCCCGACGCCCTAGTCCCCATCGCCCTCGGCCCCGTCGCCCCTCGGCCCTACGCCCTAGGCCCCGTCGCCCTGCGGCCCGTCGCCCTAGGCCCCGTCGCCCCGCGGCCCCCGTCGCCCTAGGCCCCGTCGCCCCGCGGCCCCCGTCGCCCTAGGCCCCGTCGCCCCGCGCCCCCCCCGTCGCCCTAGGCCCCGTCGCCCCGCGGTCCCCCATCGCCCTAGGCCCCGTCGCCCCGCGGCCCCACGTCGCCCTAGGCCTCGTCGCCCTGCGGCCCGTCGCCCTAGGCCCCGTCGCCCTCGGCCCTGTCGCCCTAGGCCCGTCGCCCTAGGCCCCATCGCCGCGTGGCCCCGGGCCTTCGTTTCTGGCCCCGTGGCCCTTCGTTCCTGGCCCCGTGGCCCGTCGCCCCTAGGACCCCGGCCCCTCGGCCCCCTTTGTTCCTGGCCCCGCGGCCCGTCGCCCCTAGGCCCCAGGCCCCTCGGCCCCTTCGTTCCTGGCCCCGCGGCCCGTCGCCCCTAGGCCCCCGCCCCTCCCCCCCCCCCCTTTTTCGTTCCTGGCCCCGCGGCCCGTCGCCCCTAGGCCCCCCCGGCCCCTTGGCCTGTTGCTCCTGGCCCCGCGGCCCGTAGCCCCTAGGCCCCCCGGCCCCTCGGCCCGTTGCTCCTGGCCCCGCGGCCCGTCGCCCCTAGGCCCCCGGCCCCTCGGCCCCCCTCTTCGTTCCTGGCCCCGCGGCCCGTCGCCCCTAGGCCCCCCCGGCCCGTCGCCCCTAGGCCCCCCGGCCCCTCGGCCCGTTGCTCCTGCCCCCCCCCGGCCCCTCGGCCCCTCTGCTGCTGCTACTGCTACTACTGCTGCTACTGCTGCTATTGCTGCTGCTGCCTGCCTTGTGCTCTTCGCTCCCCGCTCTGCGTGCTGCGCCGCTATGGCTTCGCTTCGAGTTCTTGCGTTCGATCATGAGGGTCGCCCGGTCGAGTTTGACAGGTGGCTGGACGACCTACAGCTGTACCTACTGAGCGACTCTCGGGACAGTGTTTCTTTGTTTGACCTCGCGTCTGGCACTGTTCCCACCCCTCGCGCCACAACTGACAGTACGACTCGCTCACAGTGGCTTACTCGCGACGCTGCTGCCCGCTTAGCCATTCGCAACCATTTGTCGTTAGCCGAATGCGCTCACTTCGGACAGCACAGGAGAGCACATGCACTGTGCGACGCTGTCGTCTCTCGCTTCTCCTCGCCTGCCACTGCTGCTCTAGGCCGCCTCCTCCTGCCCTACCTGTTCCCCGAGCTGTCCGCCTTTGCCACAGTAGAGGACCTGGTTTCCCACCTTCGCGCTAGCGACGCTCGCTACCGCGCTGCCCTCCTAGCAGAGTTCCTTGACAGGAACCCGCCCCCGATGTACATCACTCTCTACTTTATAGTCACGCGCCTCCTTGACTCTCTGCGCTCTGTCAGGGACCACTTCCTCTCCCTTGACCCCACCTCCCTCACTGTTGACCTATTCGAGCAGCACCTCCTTGCAGCTGAGACTAGTGCAGTAGCTGTAGGTGGTGCTCGTGGCACTCCGCGCACGCCCTTCTTTGAGGGGTGCTCCCTCTCCCCCCTTGCCCCCTCCTATGCCTCTGCTGCTGCTGTAGTCGTCCTTAATACTGAGGATGTCGGGGCTGCTTCTGCTAGTGCAAAGCGCCGCAGCAGCAAGGGCAAGGGCGACAGGGGTGGTGGAGGGGGCAGCGGGAGTGGTGTTGGGGGCAGCAGTGGAGGCAGTGGCGGCAGTGGAGGTGGTGGCAGCGGTGGGAGTGGTGGAGAGAGTGGGGGCGTTGGTGGCGGCGGCGGAGGGAGCGGTGGGAGTGGCGGTAGTGGCAGCGGTGGCAGTGGTGGCGGTAGGACTGGAGCTCAGCGTGGAGGCTCTGGAGGAGGCCAGCGGCAGCGGCAGCAGCTTCGGAGCGAGACCCCTTCGCCCCAACAGCTTCGTGAGTGGTTGTTTCTGCGAGGGGCGTCAGGGGGTAGTGTGAGCTGCCCGTATGTCATTCGCACGTGTGACCACGCTGGCCAGACATGCGGGAAGGCGCACACGCAGCACTGCTGCTTCTCCCGTCTCGACGACGCTTGGCACGCTGAGTTTGGTGACGAGGTCGAGCGCCCCCACTGGGCAGAGCTGCTTAGGTCTGGTGTTGCGATATTTGACCTAGACTATGATGCTATTATTTCTGCTATGTATGCTTTATCTTTTAGTGCTGAGGGTGACTGTTACCGGTGTGTGCCACCTGACCTAGGTATAGCGGCTGCTGCTCTAGGTGCTAGTGCGTCTGGTACTCCCCCTGGTACTGCGCCTGCTACGGCCTTGCA